CACCGTCAACGGCGACACGTGCTCGGCTCAACGAGCAACCTCCCGTTGCGTGCCTTGCCCCACTGCCTCTCGGCAGCGTTTGGTGGCTCGTACCCAACGCAAGCCCCGCCTCTGAATGGCGGTCAGTGCGCCAATGTGCAAAACGAAATCGATTACTATGGCAACGACATCGCCAACGTCCACGTCTCGGGCACCAACCAAGACAAGGTGTCTGCGTGCTGCAGCGCCTGTACGCAAACGAGCGGCTGCAAGGGCTTCACCATCAACGGCGACACGTGCTGGCTCAAGAGCCAGCTCCTCAATGCGAACCCCTGTCCCAACTGCATCTCGGCATCGGCGGGCAGCGTAGCCCAGTGCAGCAATATTGCGAGCAACACCGACTATTATGGCAACGACATTCGCAGCTTTCCCGTCCTCGGCGACGCGATGTCGCAGCGCACGCAGTGCTGCAACGGCTGCGCATCGACGAGCGGGTGCGTCGGGTTCGCCATCAACGGTGGCACGTGCTGGCTCAAAACAAACTCGCCAACAAAAGCAACACACCCGGCGTCGTCTCGGGCAGCTACACAACGTACAATCGCTTTTAGACATAATTGTCTCCACACCGCCTGAAATGTCGCGTCCTTTGCTTTATATTTGTATACCATAAGGACACATTTTTATCGTCAAGTGTCGCAAAAAGTTATAGGTTGCTCGTTCAAGCCTTGAGCTCTTGTGCGGACTGCGATAGTCTAGCCAATGCCCTCGCGTCGAGTACATATCGCTTCGATAGAGGCCACGCTGTTGCCTGGTCCGAGATAGCGACGCGTCTCTGTTGTCTACATCGGCTTGCTCCTTGTTCGTGGGACGTGCATCAAGAAGTGACGTGCGAAGGACCCGTCGTAGAACGTACGTGTAGACGGCCTTTCGGAAGACAGAAAACCGGGCAGGCTTGCGCAAGCGTGCTGCCTTATCGTATCCTCCTCATGAATTGTGCATTTCATGTGTCTTGTCGATGCATACTTGCTGTCAACAAGGGAATATGCCCTTGCTGTAGAGCACTTGTGTGATGGACCGTTCGGTTTCAGTACCACGGTACGAGCAGTATTGACGCTCGGTTCGGAGAGGAGACCGATTTGTCCATGACTATGCATGTAAATGCGTTACCGAAGCTTGCTGCTGGAGCCGTTTTTGACGTTGAGATTCAACTTTGCTACGTCTCCAGATGCCACATCTTTTTGGTTGCATACCGTTCGCACGCCGAGTGTGTATGAATGCTGGTCTAAAACACCATCATTCACGCCTGGTATGATGATTGATTGGTTGTCCATTTGGCAATACCGACGAGACTTGACAGATGCTCCTTGCGCTCGAGACGATCGAGCACATTGCGTCGTACATACCGTCGTATGCGACGCTCGCGGCGCTTCTCGACGTGCTGCCCGAGCGCACACCAGCAATGCAGCACGTCCGCACGTGGGGCCAGGGCATCCGCGGCACTCTATCGCGCTGCACTTTTTCCGGACTGACCATGTCCTTGGACGGCTACCACCTACGTTACTACAACACGGACGCGGCACCGATCGTCGCTTACCTCGCGGCCGCCGCACCATTTGTCCCGCGCGTCTCGGTGACAATCAGCAATCTCGCCGAGTGGCTGCGGTACGTCGATGCGATTTCGCATCTCGTCACGTCGGTGGAGCTCGCGCCTATGATTGATTTTATCGATGCTGCCCAGTCGCCGCCGAACGCAGGCGCAACGCTGCGTGACGCGCTCATCGCATGCCCCCGACTGCACGCGCTGCGCGTCACATATACCGACTGGGACGACTTTGACGGGGACTTCGCCAACATTGACGCTGTCCTTGCGGGCATGGCCTACCTTCCACGCCTTGTCAATGTCGACATTGATGGCTGTGCTTTTGCAGTCTCCCAACTCGCGACGTCAAGTGTCAATGGCCTCATTGCCTGGCTGGCTCGCTGCCCGGCCAAGTCTCTTCGGCTCGTGCATTGCAACCTTGCGATGCACGACGATGGTCGTGACGGTCTCGGTCCAGCGCTGGCAAGCGCGATATCGCAGTCAAGAACGCTTGAAGAACTTGAGATCAAGAACGTTCCGTACATCAACTCGTTTGGTTTGGATGGGCAGCCGCTACCGTCCACTCTGCGTGTATTTCGCTGGACCAATTCGGACACGCCACGCGATGAGTCGTCTGAGAGTCTCGCGCGCACCCTCTGTACCTCGCTTACGTCGGCAACCCGACTAGAAAGGCTTCGTTTGGCGGCCAACTCTGCGTTGTGCCCGGTGACATTCATCAATCAGCTTGCAGCCGTGCTACCGTCCATGACACACCTTACGTGCTTGCAGCTCAAAGGTATCGGGATCAGTGATGCGACGCCACTCGTGGAGGTGCTGCCGTCTCTTCCAGCGTTGTCGACGCTACGCTTCAAGATGGCACTGATCGAGGATCTTGGCGCCATGGCTCTATCTGCTGCCCTACCGCACTGTACGGCGCTGCGTGCGCTCGAGCTTCGCGGCGTGTACAACGAGTCGTCGGCGATGGCTCTGCGCACAGCGGTCCAGTCCATGCCGACGGACTGGCTCTACAGGCAATTTTGATTCGGCGCCACCACATGTTGGTGACACGAGCTGCTAGCATGTCATAAATAGACTTCGTGGTGGTTATTGTTATCGGTAGCGTCACTTTGTTTTAGCAACGAGACTGGAAACCATGTTCATCACAACACCCGCTTCGCGACGCCAGCCCGCCCTCGTCATCGCAGGTCTTCTGTACCTCATTGCCTCGCTCGGCATCGGTCTCTGGTACATCTCGCTCCTCTCGCCAAGCCTGGCCAATGATCTGTGGTGGGCTGGCTTTACGCCCACAAGTGGAGAAGCCTTGCTCATCGACCTAACCAACGCCCAACTGGCGCTGACCGCGACGTCGGCCCTCAGTATCTACGCCGCGGATGCAACGATGAACACGCTCTACAATGCGTCGACCGCCACCACCAGTATATCGCCAACCTACTCTCGCCATATCATCTTGACCGAGCTCACGTCCATCGAGTACGCCGTGCCGCAGCTACGCACACTCAGTGCCGCGTGGTCGATGCGCATGAACGTGCAGCACTGCTGGGTCGACTTTAACCAGACGTTTGAGATTGCCCACACAACCACTCGTCAGCGCCGCTGCAAGGACCAGTTTGCGACCAACGGCGCCGTGTACCTCGAAGCCATCTTGCGCAACGTGGTCTGGGCCGACTACATGGCGA